TGAAATTGATTTAAAGATACCTCGTAAATTTGCGCAATCTCGGTAAAGTAAGGGGAGATTGGAAATGAAAGACCATAATAAAACTTCTCAGAAAATCAAGTGCTATAACCCGGAGGAGGTATGTGAGGACGATCAGAAGGTAAAGGAACGACTAAGTCGAAATCCGAGGAGAGACATACATCCCTAATTAAATTTACGAGGTCAATATCCGTTAAGGTACTACGCCCCCATTGATCCCGGGGGCTCCTTTCCTTGGAAAGACCTTGAGAACCTCCCTTAGGGAAATCTGGAGAATTTCCTCGAAGGAAGTCCTGAGATCTTTCCTTGCGGAGATCTTGAATATTTTATGTGGAATAATGACGAAAACCTAAACTGGTCGAGGGGATGGAAGGGACTAGCCTAAGAGGAGACACCGGGGTGTCAAAACCACCGTCATCATCGCTCAAACAACGAAGACGAGCAGTTTTATCGGCTAGGTCTGATAAAGGACGTCAAATTGGATTCGAATTGCAAAATCACTATTTAATTCGGAGAAAGGTTATCAATGGGCATTGGTGGATATATCGAAAGAAATTATGGAAAATAAGGGTTTTCTACAAACTCAAATTTCATTTGAGTACGAAACGAACTCTATCTCAAGTGAAACGGCGCAAGGAACAAAACTCATGAGAAAAGCTCATGAATCACGTCAAATTTCAGCAATCCAACGTCGTTTAGACTCCTAAACGTTCGTTTTTGCTATTTTAGGCAAGTTTTAGAAAATTAATATCAAATCATAGAAAAATCATATTAGGATTCCGGAAAAATTGGGTTGTTCCCAAAATTACGAGGTTTGCTAGAATCAGGGTCTAACTCGTTTTTGCCGTTTTTGGTAATTTTTAGTATTTTCTTAATTTAATTAGGGTTTTCAGTTTTATTAATATAAATCGTATTTGGATTCCGTAAATTGGGTTGTTCCCAAAATTACGAGATCTGCTAGAATCAGGCTCTAACTTGTTTTTGGCCTTTTTGGTAATTTTTAGTATTTTCTTAGTTTAATTAGTGTTTTTAGTTTTATTAGTATAAATTAGGGCTATTCGTGGGTTGGGTTGGTTGATTATCGGCCATCAAACCAACCCGATCCACCAACCAACTTTTGTAAATATTAAGAACCATTATCGACCCAACATATATGGGTCGGGTGGGGTTGGCAAACCAACTTTGTGGGTCGGATATGGGTTGGTTGATGGGTAAACTGTATCTAGAAAAAAAAAATCTTTGAACTTCCATTACAACACTAATATTTAACATAATTAGTTCAACAATATTAAAATAAAAAATTAAAATTTCAACTGAACATAAATGTACAACAATAGTACAATAAAAACCTAATAAATTGTGACCATGTGTCTTATATTTTACATAAAAATAGGAACTTGCATCAATGATCGATCAAATAAATTAAATTTTACGGAAAAATACAATAATAATAAATTTCATATATTAATGGTCTGGCAACAAAGTTGTCAATAATATCAATTTAATCAATAAAAGTTCACCAAAGACCACATTCACAAATTTTTTAGGTCAAAGGCTTTTTTTTTAAAACAAAATTATTAAATTAGATAAAATACTATATAAAAATTTAAAGTAGAAATTTTAAATAAAAAATACTAATAATAAATAATAAACAAAGTTGGTTGTCCGATAATACCCAATAAACTAACTTTTTAGCATATTACAAGCTAACAATCAACCCAACTATAATGGGTTGGTTGAGATTATCAACCCACCTTTGATGGGTTGGTTGATGGTTGATCAACCGCTAAAAAATATTGGTAGAAAATGAGTTGGTTGGTGAATATTCAGAGGTTTAGTGGACTCTGAATATTTCTTTTTCTAATGGATTAATTCGTAAAAATTAATTCTTTACTGTGCTTCCGTTCTGCATCAAGGTCAGAGGAGCGATACGATATGGGAACCGATAAATGGAACAGTAAAGAACGAAAGAGGTAGGGAAAGTAGTTAATATGGGCCATTTTGCTCTAATGGTCCTCACCGTTGTGACATTATACGAAAATTAGAAAAAGCTGTCATAAGAGCCTAAAAGCAAGAAGGTCTAAGAAACGTGTAAAGCCCTAAGAAATAAGCATTGTCCATGCCTTACCTCGGGATCCAGAATGAGGTCTGGGAAATGAGATCGCTCTTACCTCGGTGACTTAAGCGAGTTAAAACCACTCAACCCTAAAAGTCCATTAAAAAAGGAAATCACAAATAAGGAAAGAGTTGGGTCAAAAACCCTAAAGAAAAGTCTTGGACCTCAAAAAAAGATGTCACTATAAAAATGAGTTCACTCAAACTCTTACGGCTGAACATTGTTTTTGAAAACACACAAAAGAAAATATATCTATACTTTCTGACTTAATCGTCGGAACTTCTACATTAGGAAAACTCCTCCCGATGTTGCAGGTACCACGGTCTCGATCAAGATTCTAGTGAAGCTTGACTTAATCGTCGGAGCTTCTACGTTAGGAAAACTCCTCCCGATGTTGCAGGTACCACGGTCGATCAAGATTCTAGTGAAGCTTGACTTAATCGTCAGAGCTTCTACGTTAGGAAAACTCCTCCCGATGTTGCAGGTACCACGGTCGATCAAGATTCTAGTGAAGCTCGAAGTTGAGATCACATCGTCACCATCATCATCTGACGTCACACTGATCATCTCCACCATCCGAAAAGTTTAGCCGGATCACATATCCTTCTCAGTTAGCACCATTTGCCCATTTAGCCAAATTATGAGGTGCAAAGTTTACAATACGGAGAACGAACTTGAATCCCACTTAACGCAACATGGCCAATATTTTCTCATTTCATAAAAAATGCTAAAATGTCAAGCTGACCATTATTTGAGTTTTTTCTTTTGAGAAAATTAGCAAGACGGTTCTCATTTGACTAATTCATGTAACAGGAGACCCCCTTTAGTTGTTACATTGGATAAGTAATAAAAATAAGGGTAAATTGCATTTAACCCCCCTGTGGTTTCACCGTTTGGCAATTTACCCCCCTCTCATATCGATTTGGGCACTTAAACCCCTTGGGGTTGTCAAATTGTAGCGGCCGTCTAATAAAGTAGCGGAAAACACTAAATGTCTGAAATGCCCTTTTTTATATACTATTTGTTGGTCCAAACCATGACTAAAACTCTTTTATTTTCTTTTAATAAATAAATATAATTCAAAAAGATTTAATTATAAATAACACAAATTTATAGGAGTAAACTACAATTTTCATAACTTCTTATTTCCATAATATCTTCTTTCCCTCACCATCAAATCGGTCATTACAGCATCTTCAAGAAAAGAAGAATAGGGAAAAAAAATCAAAAAATCCTCCAAAATATTCATAAACACTTCCCAAAAACAATCAGAAAACCCGATCAAAAATAAAGAAAGCGGCCCAGATTTTCACCTCAAAACCCATTGCTCGCAATTTTTTTCTTCTTCAGATACATCTCTGCAACTTTCGGTTTTTCTTCGTGGTGGTTCATCCCCTTATCGTTTCTACGAATTTTTGATGTCTTTGTGAAGTGGTTGAATAGTATTTTGATAGTGAAAATTGAAACGGCGGCGTTTTGATGGTGGGCTAGTGGTGGTGGTCGGCAGCGTTTTGATGGTGGGCTATTGGTGTTGGTCAGCGGCGGTTTGATGGTGGGCTATTGGTGGTGGTCGGCGGCGTTTTGATGGTGGGCTATTGGTGGTGGTCGGCGGCGGCTTGATGGTGGGCTATTGGTGGTGGTCGGTGGTGTTTTGATGGTGGGCTATTGGTGGTGGTCGGCGGCGGTTTGATGGTGGGCTATTGGTGGTGGTCGGCAGCGGGTGGATGTTTCAATATCCAAAACCCTCATCTTCTACATCCACATTTCTTCGGCCCTGGTTTTTTTTTTCGATTTTTGTCCTTTTTTTTTATTTATTTATTAGATTTTGGTGGATAAATCCTTCAGCCCTTAACAAGTCTTTGTTTTAATTTTCTTCTGTAATTTTTAATTTATATACAGGTATATTTTTTATTTAAAAATAAAAGGTTTAATGAATATATGATTATTGAAGAAAAATATAAAGTCAGATATGTAATTTTGAAAAATAATTAATTTAGAATAAAAAAATATGTCATATAAATTTAAAACATAATTTTAATAAGAAAAAAATGAAAGATTGGTGTAATAATTTTTATTAAAGGCAAGACAAAAGGATAACATAGGTATTTTAAAAAAATAACCTTGGAAAATCTTCAACCACTTCAATTTTGGGCGAGTGAGATGCACTCACGGTTAACTATAACGGATTTTTAGACGGCCGCTACAATTTGACAACCCCAATGGGGTTAAGTGCCCAAATTGATATTAGAGGGGGGTAAAGTGTCAAACAGTGAAACCACAGGGGGGTTAAATGCAATTTACCCTAAAAATAAAGTATCAATTATACTCTAATGAATTATAACTATTTTTCGTTTTGCATAATACAATAACATGATTCACGTCAATAGTACCCGATACATCTCCCTTGATTCATCACACCCAAATATATCTCCCGCAATCTCTCCCTAGATTCATTCTTCTTCTTTTCAAAATTCTAAAGCAAATTGGTCGTGTGAATTATAAGCCAAATTCATGGCAATAAACCAAATTCGCAAGTATTTTCCGACAAGGTGCATGTCGTTATGTAATTGAGGTGCGTTCGATTCTTTCGTACGTCGTATTTTTCATAGTTGATTAACTTAATTCAACGGCAATGTTTATACTGAAATATTAGATGTATTGCATCAACAAAAAACTACTTAAAAACTTGGTTAAATGTTGGCAAAGCAACTTCCACAAGTAATCAATTCCATGGACAACTCGATCTACTTATCAGCAACTTGCAAAGGAACTCACGAATACATATATACGCTGAATCTGCTACGTACTCACACGAAAAAATATTGATAGGAGAAATACAATTCTTATCTTCTTGACAACATTGCTCATAAGTAGGAAAAAAAAATACATTGCGTCTTGAATAAATCTCCCTCCGGTATCCACATTTTCAAGAAGAACAATTCTCCTAAAACAGTCGGGAATACCAAAATAAAACTATACGCCTACGCAATTCCATCGTACAGGAAAACATTCAATCTTATTTCCTACTCGTTTTTTTTCGAAACATATCCGAGCACAGTTTCTCTACAGTAGAGCAAATATTAACAAGGAGTATGTTTTAGAAAATTTACATCACTGCAGTAACAATCATATTATGATTTCGTAACTAATCCAGTGACCATGTATACTTATTTCCTTTTACATGATTACAGGAGGCTCCAGAACAAGTATCCGAATCTATAATTATACTACCCACCTCAAAATCGAAAAAAAAAGGAAAAAATAAATAAATAAATAAATTCAGACAAATTTTATCACCACTGTCCAACACAACATCTATTAATGGTGAATATGACAGCGTGGAAAGCTGTCTTACCGGTGATTATTTGCTCTTTCTTTCAGACTTGATAGCCTCGTACGACACCATAATTTCCTTGAATTTTGCTTCAGCAAACTCTGCAGACAAAACAAATACGCCTCAGCTAATGCAATTGACCAATCAGATGAAAGATGAACAGTTGATAGTATTATATATATGTTTATTGAGTTCACTACCTTTCTTATTCTGATTCTGGTCGGGGTGAAATTGCTTCGCCTTTGTTCTGAACGCTGACTGTAAATAAACAACGGGTTATAGGAAGTGGTAGACAGAGTTATCAGATAAACGTCAATAACAAAAATAATCTTGAAGTGTGATTAATATCAGAAAGGATCATAGACGCAAAATGCAACTAGACAATAATTAATAAAAATATTTCGCATATTGAAAAATAGCGAGAGAACGTATGTGCCCTTGAACTCTTTCATTGAAGTGATCAAAAAACATTTAATACCCTTGAATCTTTCATCGTATTTTTAACCAATTAATCCACAGTCATTGCAATTAGTGCAGTACTTTGGTTGCATGTTAAATAAATTATTGGAGTTTGCCTGAGAGTTTGTGACTAGCCTTTCCTTCACGTGAAACTATATCATAGTCGAAACTTACAAATTCCTAAAGTTCATTTCCGATTCTATTTGCTTAAATGATACACATGCATAAGAATAATTAAGAAGCATTAGCAAGTACCTTTATCTCGTCATCTGTGTAGGGTTTTGTCCTCAGCCTGCAAAAAAGAGCAGCCACATAAGGCAAAAGTGATGAACTTACACATGCAAGTACATATTATTAAATTCCGCTCCGTTTAAGACAGTGATATGCTCCAATCAAGAAAATAAAGATAATACATGCAAAATATTACACAAGCAGTACGTAACAGCTTTAAAGACACACAGACGGAATAGTATACAAGCATATGAACTTTTTTATGTACAATAGCATGCCATTTGCCGCATGAAATCCTCCTCAATACTTAATTAATAAGTTGATAGACATAACCCTAACATTGCTCATATTCTCTAACTAGGACAAAGCAAAGAGGTCCAGCTACAACATATATTCATAGCTGAAAGTAGACCCGTTCAAGATTCAAGATGCCTTAATTAATTAATTTTCATCGTGTGCCAGGCTTTTGGAAGATAACTTTTTCTTTCCATTTACGCAGTCTCAACCATGCAGCAGCGAAAACACTGGAAACTTGCAGGGAAATAAAATGTCGACAGCTGTATATCTCTGCTGCCAGCTTATGTGTTAAAAGCACTTTTACTCTTGTTCTTTTCTTTTTTACAAATTTGTCCCTACTTAAAGAAAATGATGGGGCTGCACACTTTACAATGTTTGTTGTCGATCAAAAGTTTAGCTGTAGTATCTCATATTTGGAGAATAAAACATACCTGTCAAGGCCAAGGACTGAATAATGATGTGATAATGGAGCTCTTGAATTGGGAGTAGGAGTCCCCTTAAAACCATTATTGTAATCTCTGAATGAGGAATCTGCTTTCCAGTACCAATCGTTCCTCTGAGAACGCTGATTGTATGCACTTTCACCATTTTCTTGCCAGCTCTCGTAACCCCTTCTAAACTTGTTTCTCTCTCTGTTAAATACAGTTTGCATCCGCCGAATTCGCTCCTACAAAAAGCTTAACAACTTATCTATATGCTAAATAATTTACTTACATTACCAAAATTTCTAGGACCAAATCAGCAGTCCTTACTAATCGTACTAGACTGCAATTTGAATAGCATTTTGATAATTTCCATCTTGGTTTTATTTAGAAAGCAAATTGGTCTCTGAATAAGTCAAATACTAGTATTCTTGTTATCCTAGTAGAGTTAGCTTTTCAGAAAAAGTTCACTAAATATTTATGCAATTTCGGTATTATAAAACCAAAGTCAATAAATCAGTCCCCCGTTTTTTTTTTCCTCTTAATCTCTTTTAGGTCTAGAAGTTTTCGAGCTTCACCTTACCTGCTGGACAGTTTCAATTTAACAGCTATCTAAACGAGTATAAATGACGTCACCCTTCTCAAATAAATGATTAGTTTCCTATACTGTCTTCATTCTACAAGATTAGGCAGCCATCAAAATTTAAAAAGAATAAAAGAAAGATATAATAAAGAGAGGGATCCAACAGACAACACTAGACAAGCAGAAAACGTTTACAGCTCGAATAATGGTCAATTTTTAAAATGGATAAGTATCTGTATGTTTACTCAACTGTGTCGAAACAAAAAAAAAAAAAAAAAAAAAACAAACAAAAGTATGAATAAGATTCCTAAACAGTGAATAAAAACAGCTTCAAAATAAATCTCACCACTCTCTCCATTTCTTCTTCGTATTTTTCTTGCATACGACGATTATATCTTTTCCATGCATCCTCTTGAAAATCAGTTCGAAAAGAACGACTACTCTTCCGAGATGACTGAGACCTGCTCGACTTTTTACGGTTCATTAAAAAGTTCAAGGTCAGTGTAAGTTAATGAAAAATAATGATCTATATCGGTCATGAAAGAAAACATTTGTTATCCACATGGAAGTACACTTCTATATTCACTTGGCACCACTGAAAGATAAATAAATTAATACTAGAATGCCAACGATTACCTGCGAGTATACCCGATCAGCAGTCCTCAGTAATCTGGTAACCTGCGACATATATATAGAAATTACAAAAAAAATGCAAATAAATGCAGTACATTTATGTTGCAGATAAATCATAATTAAAAATAGAAAGCCTTAATCTAAGATATATTTACATAGATGCAATAAAATTTCAAATTATTTCATTCTTTTTCACCGTTATTTAGTTTTTGTGTTAGCTCAAGCAAGATAATATCGCCCCAACGATGCATGTCTCTACTGTGATTTTGGTTGCTCGACTGATTGCTGATACTCTTAACGGCATTTTCTACACCAAAAATTAAGCTTGTATTTTTATACAGGGCTATATCTTCAGTACAGTGCCACTTTTTCCGTCTTAATTCTTCCTTTAAATTCATAATCGGATATTTGCTAGAGATATGTGAATGAAAGATTAAGCTATAGGAAAAGGCCATGTCTCTAATGTTAAACATGTAAGAATGTATGATAAAACGATGATGTGGAAAGAAGTGCGCGTGCCACTTGAAGCACACTATCTGCTGTGGATTTTTACATCTTTATATGCACCTTAAGAAAACGATCAACGAAGACCACATCCAACCAACTATTTGATTTCCCCAAACACATTTCTAAACTCGAGAAACTTTGGTTAAAAAGCATATTAAAAGGATTTTAAATACTTTTCAGCTATTGACTCCTATTCAACATTGCGGAAAACATACCACAAAACAGCCATCAAATCCCAAAAGCGAGCAATGTCCAGCCAAAAACGTCAAATCTTAGGCTCTGTTTGGTTCATGGAAAATGATTTTTGACAAAATCAATTTCATCACCCTTCGCATAGGAACCAAACAGATTTTCAAATTCTTTTTTTTTTCATTTGCTTTTTCCTGATTTTGAAATCCACGAACCAAACAGAACCTAAATGTACACAACAGCAAAATCTACATAACTTCGATGTAATCTTCATATACATCTACCAGAGAAGGATGTCATAAAACCGGATGTTTCATAGAACTCCTCTACTCTGCACATCCTAACGTTGAATACCCTTTATTAACTAGCACCGTCACTTTGATCCGAATTGGGTCTTCTTAAACTGGTAGGTAAAGTTCTAAAGAGCCTAAGAAATTATTTCGGTTGAAATTTCAACATTCGAAACAACCGATTTGTCAAACCTGCAAATTGACTTATAAATTACAGTGCTCTGAAAACTTTGAATTCTGTACAATATTAACATGTTTATCGTCATTGTCGATTAACTAATATACCTACATATGTTCATATTAAACACAAATAATCAGTAAACCCTAAGAATTATCAAAAACCCTAAACTAAATGCAATTACTTACTACGGCGTGCAAATTTCCACAACATAACACTTCAGTGAAGATAAATTAAATCAATATTTAAAAAAAAAAAAAAGGGGGCAGATAGCTTACAGCGACTCTGGTGAGAGTAGCTCCGATGAATCCAAAAACTAGAATTCGCCATAGTTTAATGCCCTCTTCTTTTTCCTGATAATCTCTCTTTGGTTGCGCCCATGTATTATTCCGTTTATCGCCCTCCTCTTTGCTCATTCCTTTTTCTTCGTTTTTTTTTGTTTACGGTGTTTGGCTACCGGAACAACTCAATCGAATAACTTCGAATGATTGATGATTTTGAAACTCCAGTTGATTGAATTCATAATCTTGATACCATCTGCAACCCACTTTCATGGAACGCTAAAGTGATTTTTTTTCTTTATACCGCCTTCGAAAAGGAATAGATTGTTCGTTTTTCTTCTTTTTTGGGGACTTCTTCTGCCAAGAGTCTCCGTGGTGTGGTGATTTCTAATTATTTTTGTTTTTTTTTTTTTTTTTGCTTATTTCTTTTTTTTTTCTTTTTTTTTTTTTTTTTGAGGGAATCAATGTTAATTGGGGTAAGTACAGATAAATCCCCAACTCAAACCAAAATATACGGGTCAGTCTCCAGCAATGTTTCACAAGCGTGTCAATCCCTAAAACAAATATAAAATTGCAGTTCAGTTTACAACCCCACTTTTTTTCACTTTATACACTCTCTCTCCTCTCTTATTTCTCCTCTTTCTTCCCTTTCTTCTAGATTGGTCACGGGGCGGGTCCGGGTCCGGGTCCGGGTCCGGGTCGGACTCGCTGGGTCCGGGTCCAACTTTTAAGGGACCCGAAACCGACCCGTGGGTAGACGGGTCCGGGTCTGGGGCGGGTCCACCCGGGTCCATCCGGGTCCGGGTCTGGTCCGGATCCACCCGGTTTTTCAATTTTTTTTTACAAGAAAGAAAATAAGAACTTATATTGAAACTTGAAAAAACATGAGATTAACTTTAAATTCAAAATTTTAAAAAAAATTATTGAATTTAAACACTAAACAATTTTAGAAAAAAATGAAACGATTAATTGAGACATAAACTAAATAAAATGAAAGTTGTGAAGATTGAATTATGGGTATTTATAAGTGAAAGTAATAATTGAGAAAATTTTCAAAATTTCAAAATTCAAAAAATATCAAAATTCAATCTTTCTTTTAAATTAAATCGTATTTTTTTATATTTTTCAAATTAAACATATATGCATTTATTATTAGTCGAGATTTTTGATATTAATAATAGTCAACATGACAATTAATAATTTATAAAACATTAGTTATACAATTATTATAATCATTTACAGTGTTATTTATATTTATATATTTATAGTTAGGATTATTATAACAAGGAATATATATATATAACATAAACAAAAGGTGTAAAATGATTATAATAAATAATGTTAAATAGATTATTAATTATCATATTCATTATTATTAAATAATTTTAATTAAATTATTAACAAATATAATATAATAAAAAAATAAAAGAAATTGAAAGGACTTGAGCTTAATTCATTTAAATCTTACGATTCGATTCTAATATTTGAATAAAATGTAAATGTAAAAAAAAAGTGATTAAATCATATGACCTACGATTTAATTCTTACGATTTTTACAAATTAAACCAATTATTAAAAGAGAAATCACATCATAATATTTTGATTATACTCGTCATATATAGTTTTGTTTTTTAAGTAAAAAATTAATTAGAATGAGATATAATCTATTTTTGTTAAAATAAACATCATCTATATTTTTAAATAATTATCTTATGATAAAATAATCAATAACTTTAATAAGTTCTTGTCAACAATTGAGGTTAATCAATTTAAATTAATTGAAATGAGTTATAATCTATTTTTTTTAAATAAACATCTTATTTTATTTTTCATTCGAATTTTTCACACTATCAATTTTAATAACATCAGTGAGTTTGTATTAAGTCAACGCGTTTGTTTATATATTGAATTGATTCAATACTTTATATTTTTCAAGATTATATTGATATAGTAATTAATAATAGATGTTTTGAAGTATTGAACCGTGATTCTATATATATTTTTAAAAGTTTCTTATATTGCATTTGTTAATAATTTAATTAAAATTATTTAATAATAATTAATATGAAAATTAATAATTTATTTAACATATTTATCATATTTATCATTTTACACTAGAGTTTTATATTATATATATTATATATATTTATTGTCTATATTTAATCAAATATGTTTGTTGCCCCACTGGTTAGAGTTGCCCAATTCTATTCGATTCCCCCATGCCCAATTTTTGGACAAAAAAACCCAAAATCCGGGTTGACCCAACGGGTCCTCGCCCCCCCCCCCCCGGGTAGACCCGTCGGGTCTCGGGTCCAAAATATCTGGACCCGAAATCGACCGTGCTTAGACGGATCCGGGTCCGTGGTCAACGGGGCGTGGCCGGGGCGGCGCGGGTCAATCAACGGGCTGGGTCCGGGTCAAACCCTGCCCGTGGCCATGTCTAGTTTCTTCTCTTTCTCTCTCCTCTTTCTTCCATTTTTCTCTTCTGTTTCTCTCTCCTCTCCCTTTCCTCATATTCTCTGTTACTACTTTTTGTTTCCCGACAGCGAAAAAAAACTGGAATTTCCCACAATAGCAGCAAATGGTGAATCAAACCCCCTTGCCGCTGGTATTCTTGGAAGTTTTCGGTGCAGTGATTATCTGCACATCATTTCCATTAAGAATGATTCGACTTTAAAGGAGATCTATGAATCTATCTTAATGAAGTGGAACGATATACATCCCGACAAATTGGTGCTCCAATACTTGGCTCCTCGTGAAAGAATGTTTGTCATACTGACTTCTGACGAAGACGTGGTGAATATGGTTACATTGCATTTGGTAATGCACATGAGTGTGGTCGACATTGTGGTGGGCCGTACTGATGAACTTGATGGGCGTAAAAAGAAGGCCCCCAGCCACGGGTATGCACCCATTCTGTTTTGTATGCATTTTCAATTTTTTTATGTGATCATAGATAGAATATAATACTACATAGTATTGTGTTAATATAGTGATAGTGTAGAATAACTACGCTCGTAGTATCATATAAGGCTACTGATAGTATGGAATGATTGTATGTCTAGTATCTTAGAAATTGAGTTCTCGTATGCAAGCATTCCACTCAAAGTACTTATTTCAATTGTTACAATTTATTTGTAGTCTACTGTAATAATTCAATTTGTTTCATTGTTTTTGCATTTTCCAGTGAGTCTGTTAATTCCAACAGTCCGTTGCAAATTGAGTACAATCCACTTGGAGATTCAATTGATGCATGGAGACATTGCATGCGTGGGGAGAATCAAATTTTCAAAGATTCTAATGATTTTAGGTTTATGCTAAAAAATTACTGCATTGCTAACAATCGAACATTTAAGTACAAGAAAAATGATCAACAAAAGATCATTGTAACACCCCCTATTTTCATAAGCATATTATAGGGATTTATTGAATAAATTATCAGTATGTTCATATCTATACATACATTACCTTTCATGAATTAGTTAGTAAATGTTATGCACCTTAATTATTTATATGCATTAAATGAGATTATTTTGAATAAATGATGAATATGCACTCATGGATTAATTAGTAATTTCTATGCATTCTAATTGTTTAAGTGATTTGTATAAATTATGATATTTATGAATTAGGTGTACTTGTTTGGTTAAAGGACTTAGTGATTTGGATTATGTGATTAAGTGATTTATGTGACCCAGTTACTCTACTCCTACGAATTATGTGAATTAGAATTTATTATGCAATTTAATAGTTTAATTAATACATCTATGATTAGTAATTAGTTAATCTCATGTGTTTATGTGAATTATAGTATTTATAATAATTTAATGTTTATGTTTATTGAATTCTATAATTTGGTTTCTTTCGAATTAAATAATTAATTAAGATAATATGATTAAGTGAATAATATGATTTAGTTCATGAATTCTATTATATGTATGTATATGATATGATATATTATATGTGCTAGGATTTATTTATGTGTGTGTATGTTGTTCAATGTGCATATTTATTTGATGTACATGTATGTGACATACATGTCATAGGATCTCTCTCGGTAAAAGCACAGGGAAATTTCACATCATTTGTCTTTTTATCACAATCATCTTCGACGGGCAATGATTGCTCAACAATATCTATGAAAGAGATTCGACAAAAAATAGCCTAAATAGTTGAATCGAAAAACTAAAAGAGAGAATATGAAAGTCACTGCATCATATACGTATTAACTTACCTTCATCAAAAAGCTTTCTAGCAATAATTATTTTCTTTGGAGTCCCATAATCATTAAGGAAATCATTATTTGCGGGTGAATCCATGTGAAGGGGTTGCTTGTTCATATCCTTTTCCAATTGTAAGCTAATAACAAGATATTGAGTTTGAGAAACATTTCTCATGACATTTTCTTTTTTCTTTAGTTTCATCAAAAATGTTTCTCCAGCCATTTCAAAGTTTAGTTTTTTTTATATCTGTACTATCACCCTTCATGATTAAAATCATCAGATCATAAAAAAAGAAAATGTACTTCAACTAATTTACTTTCATGCAACCATTTTTTATTACATACCGCATTGTACATCTCCATGCTCATTGTGGAGTTGACTTGAAGTATTTTGGCAGCAGCATCCCCAAAGACAATGACATCAAATTCTCCACTACTATCATAAATATTGAGGAAAAGCTTTGCCCTGAATTATACATATATATAATATAAATACGATGAAATTACTATGTTTTTTCAATTACTATTTATTTGTTGTAATTATACCTCGGCTTTGTAAGAGCATCTTCCTTGCAACTTGCACATGTATATGAATGATTTAGCTCTGCATCGACACCAGAAAAGCATTGATTGCATGCCATGTAGAAAAACTTTTGATCATAGTCTGTTATTTTAGCTCTGACTCGAACCACAAATTTGTCTTTCTGCTGGAATAAGATTTGTCAGAAAACACGTAATAGCATATTTAAAATAGTAAAAATATTTAACGAATAAATTACTTCTTTCAGAGCTACCACATCGATCAAGGGGTAAATTTCTTTTTCAGTAGTTGCGTGAAATGAGTCTTCGTGAACAAGATATTCCTTGTAGGCTAAGGCATCAGATATTAATTTTTAGTTATTTGCACGCCTACAATTTATTATTTCAAATGAGTTTCTAATTATAACAAAATTGTACAATGTATCTAACATTTATGTGCTAAAAATACAAATAAGTACTTGTACCAATTTTTCAAGTTTTGAGCTTCAACAATCTGGGGATCCACCGTTATAGCTGTTGTTGGAGTTGATGCAAGAGAGAGACCTTATTATAATAGAAATAAGTACGTCATTATAGCCTTGGAATATTTTAAAATTTTATGGAGTCAAAATTATATGTATTATGCAAAATATATTTTTAATGTACCATAGTACGAAGAAACAGAGAGTTGTGTTGCTCTTATGATTGGCATATTTTCTTCTGCCTCCTCGATTATCTTTCCTTCCGTCTCAGCTACACTATTCCATAGGGTTAAAATTACTGGTTTTTTGCTGAAATAATTCAATATTGAAACATATTATTAAAAAAAAGTGTAATATTAAATAATTAAATAAAATAAAATATTGACATAATAATTATTTACGTATTCTTGGTTGATGATGGCAAAATCACGAACAATGTGTTGTTTCCCAGAAACTACTATAGTTCGCATCGCCCGTTTCTCAATAACTATGACAAGAACATCTGTTTTGAAGTAGAATAAAAAAATTTAATACATATAGCAATGCAAGGAATTTATCACATTTTATAAAAAAAAAAAATGAGAATGTCGTCTATACCTTTCAATTCATCATTTTGTGTGCTGCTCTTCAACTGACCAATTGACGCAAAATTTAGATTCATTGCTGATCTAGGGATAGCATGTCCTATCTCGCGACTAATTGCAGTTCTTGCAGTTATGATCCATTGATATGGATATCCAAATTTATTATACTTTTCAGCGAGAGGGGTAATTTGAGCATTGAAAATTTTATATGTCTCAAATAGTACGAATACTTTTTTCGAACTTTGAAATATCATCATCAAATATAGTAGCCATAGCCTTTTGTCCCTGTTTTAAACAATCAAATTATAATAATTTAGTATTGCAATTATTTTTCTTGAAGTTATATTTAATTGGTATTATGATAGTAAGACATAATAAGAACTTACCGTTTCATCCGCAAAAACAATCCTCCGGTAACTTTTGGGACTTGAGTACGACTATTGTGGTTTTGCTATGTCATGTACCACTACTTTTATGCTCCAACGAGGAATACTTGGCAAGACGTCTTGGATCTGATCTAAAACAACTGAAGTCATCCTGCACAAAACAAATTAGCCAAATATTACTAATATTGTGACACCCATTTTCTAATTACACTTACTTAGTAATTTAGAATATGCTAGCGGAAGACTTATAGAAAATAATGAGTGTGGAATGTTCGTTTTAATAATCAACTTCTACCAATAGAAAGTTAAGCATAAATTTTAAAATCAGAGGAAGAGTGTCCACATAATAAATACCATATCATATACAATTAACCAAATATCACAAAAAGGAACATGAATGACTAGATTATTTAAATTATCAAGAGTAACGAGACGAATTTCGGACACATTAGGTAGATCAACTTCGAAAATTAATTTCTCTTAAACCCTTTATGAACATACTTTGAAAATTTAACCACATACTCTCATATGGGTCTAAATTACTCATTTAAAACAGTTTTAAAATATCATAAACCGTTTGAGAGAAATAATTAAAGGCATGAAACTGTACAGTTTGAAAATCCAGAACAGGAGAGGGAGCTTTGAAAATTCTTTATAAATTCCCTACTGTTCTAAAAACTACCAAATTTTATACAAAAGTAGATAAGTGAGTTATTAAAATACTCCAAGTTAAATGGATTCATTTGAGTAAGAAAAAATTCATATATTGATGCATGTCCTAAAATGACTCAGCATGTGCACAGTTACGGAAATTAATTCATAATAAATTCGTGACTTGTCCAAATGATGCAAAAGACCTACCAAAATAACCCTAACAGAAAGACCTATGACTCTGTAAAATTACATGCAATTCTAAACAGAAAGTATATTTAATACGGATTATCGAACAATAGGGCAGAACACAACATATAATTAACCGATTAGCATTATATAGAAGTTTGGCAAAAAGAGGAAATCAAAATCCTAATTATTATTAGATGCAATGTTCTTACTAATAAGATCCCCCGAGGGGTGGAAGAGTACGATAATAGATATCTAAGATGGTATCGAAAGTCTTTAAAATTAAACTATATAAGTAAAACAATATGGCTAAATTAAGAGCACACAAGATCCACACGCCTTCCATATGAACACATCCCTCGATCCTCGAACTCGACTCCAACTTTACGACTCGTGCTCGGGATTGAAAGTACCTACAAGCATTTCAACACCTATATGAGTCTTTTGGACTCAATGAGAATTCCGAAGAAATACCGAATACACATAGGCAAACAAACATATATTTATGATATGTATATATGTATATATACCATCTCAAATCGCACATTACACAATATAAACATTTCATTTTACCTCAATCGTCATTTCATTGAGGAACTTTACTAATTTACCTTTACCTTCTCGGATAATCTCTTAGACCTTCCTTTCATCATTTCATAAGGAATAAGACCTTACAAGGGAGTCGTCATTCTTTTACACACACATTCATTCAAGTGCTCATACAATGTGTGAGAAAAACATTTTTGTTCGGATATCCTTTGGAAAAATCAAATAAAACCATAGACAATAAGCCTTCATTTATTTGGAACCCGTTTCATAAGTGGAATCAAACCACACACTCTTCATCTCATTTTTGGGGTACCGGTCCCTCATACCCCGTGCTTATTCGATCTATGTTTTACAAGACTTTCCAATTTTAAAAAAACGTGCAAGTGAGGTTAGTACATACTTTCATTCATTTCAAGCAATTTGATTAGGTGTGTGAGAAAACATTTTTCGTTCGGATATCCTTTGAAAAATCAAGTAAAACCATAGACAATAAGCCTTCATTTATTTGGAACCCGTTTCATAAGTGGAATCAAACCACACACTCTTCATCTCATTTTTGGGGTACCGGTCCCTCATACCCCGTGCTTATTCGATCTATGTTTTACAAGATTTTCCAACTTTAAAAACGTGCAAGTGAAGTTAGTATATATTCTTCATTTCACATATTCAAAGTTAGCTTTCACATAAGTACACATATTTCCACATATTTCACAAAGGCACATAGTTTAGTCACAAAATCACAAAAGCAAGTAAGACACATAACAACTCAAGCAAAGAACATAGATCACATATTTACACATATAGCAAAACAACTCAAAGCATTCGGTTGTTTGTAATTACTATCTCCAAGTTTCATTAATTAAAGTTCAAGCCCTCTTTCTCAAGAGACTTGAAGTTTTCTTTCAAGTAGCACCAAATTTCCATTTATTTCATTTTCTTTCCAAAATATTCGAACCATCAACAATTCAATCACACAAAATTCCATTTTTATTAATCTTGTCCTCGGTTTTTACTTCGTATATTATCTTATTACTCATAGATCATAAACCATGGATTGCAAGCTTCCTCGACCCGAACGGAGCACACTTACAACCGCGTAGGTCGATATATATACACATAGAAACATATACTTATATATATAGCACATATAGATTATAAATAAACCATGGATCAGGTACTTTCTTCGACCACGCAGGTTTACGAAAACCATGGATCGAAGTTTCCTTAAGATCACGCAGGTCTAGTATATATATATACATACATAAAAATAAAATTACAATATTATTCTTAGTTCTTCAAGATTATATCATTTAAAGCTTAGATTCTTACATGCATGGATGATCAAAGCATAAATTAAACACAAAGTTTTATTTTCTTTCTCCTTTAGTTTTTGGTCACCACAAGAACATTAACAAGAAATTAAAGAGAAGAAAAATACTATTGGTGTTGAAGCACTTGTAGCAAGAATTCGAAAATTCTCACCTTAATCTCCTTAGAAATTTGGAAGGGTGTTATTTCCTTTCTACAAGGAGGAGAAGAAGCTTAGCTTTTTGAAAATTTCGAAAATGAAGAAAAGAAAGAAGATGAAGAACACTTACTCCTTTGGCCAAGAATTTTACTCTTGAAAGAGAGATTTTGGGGCTTTCCTACACTTCTAATTTCGAAAATGGAGGAGAAGGGAAAGAGATTTTGATCTTTGATCTTTAGGATGTGTGGAGAATATGAGAAAATTGATGAAGGCTTGGGTTCTATTTATAGAGTTGTGGGAGACTTGCATGCTTAATGATTAAGGAGTGGTCTTTTTGCAATTTAGGAAAACTTAGGGATTATCTAGAGGGACTTCTTTGCAATTTCATTTAACCAAAAAAAAGAAATTTATAAAGGGAAAATCTTAATAACATGGGCTCACCTAGAGGAGGGTTGTACTCAAGGAAAATTTTGGTCTTGTGTTGTACTATGGTCAAAATTGAGGGATGGATAGAAGGAATTTTCTATTTTTATTCAAGAAAATATGTGATTTAAAATTCTCCTAACAAATAAGTTCTAGCAAACAAAGGAGTATAATTAAATCTCTAGATTAATAATTAACTAAGATGATCAATTTAAATTCGTCCAAAATTATTTCGGACTATACATTCTATATGAAATTTCACCGGTTATCACATAAATAAAGTCTTAAACTAATAAACGCACATAAGAGATAAAATCACGTTAACTAAATAGATGCTAATTAATGAAAAATTAAATTATCGGAGACGCGGGGTGTTACAAATATTGTACAAAAAAATGTGTACAAAACGTTAAAAACCATGAAAGTATTTAAAAACTCATAAGTTATCAATATAATTTCATTATAATAGTAAATTATTCTGTATAAAGATGGCCTTGTGCTAATCATTCTTACTTTCCATTTCGTATATTGTACAGGTACAAGTGCTTTTTCACATGATGGTTGAATCAAGATTTTAACTGCATCAGCTGATCTAGCTCTTGACAGTGCAACGTAAAGTTGCCCATGTGAGAAGACTGGCTCTCGTAGGTAAACTCCAACAAATTCAAGTGTCTGACCTTGAGCTTTATTTATAGTCATAACAAAATATGGTCTAACGGGAAATTGCATCCTTTTAAAAGGAATCGGACACTTTTGTTTATCAGAAGACTCTAAAGGAATCCTTGGTACGAATACGTGATTTCCTTTAAAATCTCCTACTGCTATTTCTGCTCCGATAAAATTCTGCCCTAATTCTCGACATATTAATCGTGTTTCATTACAAAGGCCTTCAATAGGATCTAAATTCCTCAATAACATAATCGGACAATTCTTCTTTAACCTCAAAATGTGAGGAGGAAGGCCACTTACGGAAATACTATTCAAATAGTCTTCGTATTCTCCTTGTTGGTTTGAATCTATTGTCTTATTATAACTAACATACTTCCTTAAAGTTCCAGGGAAACTATCTATTAATAGATCATTTATTTCTTCAACACATTCGTTTTTAGATGTCAAAATTGCCCTATTAATTAATTTATAAGGATCTGTGTGGAACAAATTGAAACAAGGAAAGACACTTCTTATCAACATATTAAGAGAAGTCTTTGTATCGACAAAAGGGATAAGCATATTTTGGGGGATGATAATGTTGTTTTCAAATACGAAAGGCTCATCACCATCGCCAATTCGCATTAAAAATGACCCAAAACAAGGATCTTCTTTAGCACGCATGTTTTTTTGTAGTCCAATCTTCGTAACATTTGGCCAGATCACTGAACTGACAATGCTAGCCGCAATCATTGATTCCCTTGATCCTCCAGGCACTATAGATAAAGTTTGCCTAAAGTCGCGACCAAATAGAATCACTTTCCCCCCAAAAGGCGAGTCATCAGACATCAAGTTCCGAAGTAATTCATCAAGAGCTTCAGTAGAATGATGATTTGCCATTGAGGCCTCATCCCACACCACAAGTTTTGCATTTATTATCATTTTAGCAAGGTTGCATTGTTTGCTGATGTTACCAATTGATTTGTCTTGAAGATCAAATGGAAGCTTAAATCTGGAATGAGCTATTCGCCCACCTGGTAACAAAGAAGCTGCTACTCCTGAAGTAGCCACAGCTAAAGCAATATTTCCTTTAGAACGCACATATGCCAATAATGCACGGTACAGAAAGGTTTTTCCGGTTCCTCCAGGCCCGTCTACAAAGAAAACACCACCTTCATTGGAGTTAATTTTAGATACAATCATATCGAAAGCTATCCGTTGATCGTCATTTAATGTATGACTTGAAAGCAAATCTTCTTTTGATATTTCCATATTTTGCTCATGCTCATACTCCCGACTCATTTTATCACGAACAGAAGAATAAGAAATTGGAAACCGCAAAGAAAAATCCGATATGGATTTGTCCATAAAGAGTAGAAAATTGTCTATAGCTCTAATTGTTTTCCTCATTATTTCAGCTTCAGGCATTCCATCAAATCGAGAGAAATCCTCACAGAATGCAGAATAATATTTATCCCAAAGAACTTGCGGATTGGGAACGACTCCGTAGACAAGTAGCATCGCAAACAGTCTTCGCAAACTACATGGCATTTGATAATGAATTGCTTCAGCCAAACAATTATCTATATAATCATCGGATTCCAATAACCCTCTAAACACAGCAGCCTCGCGAAAAGATCCAACTAAGTCATTTCCAATAGGCTTCAAATCTTTGAAAGATTGCGTACACCTTACATGCATTAACAATAACCGTTCATAATATCGTTCACCTTCAAATGGACTCACTGTGGATAACCTACCAACAACGACTTGTTTCTGTCGTAGCTTCCATTTTCTAGATTTAGAATCCCAGACAAAATATTCTGGGAATTCCTTATAAAGAAGCTTCAGATGCTTTGCGTTTAAATCATTGGAATTCATCCAAAAGAATTCGGTTAACATAGTCTTTGACGATATAGGATTTTGCAGAAGTTTCTCCAAGGGCTGATGGAGGCCGAAGCGCAAAGGTTGGTGATTTGGCAAATGCACTGGCAAAATTATAACGGCAGGGTGTATCTCACTCATTGAAAATGCATAGATTCTCCAATAAGCTTCAGGCGCACATATATACCGTCCGTCTTGGAAAGCCTGAATCTCATCGTATGAACCGTGAGATTTATTGCCAACCACGTGATAGGCCATCTTATCATGTCCTTTGTAGTTGTATTTGTACAAGTATTTAACTAACTTGATATCTGAACATATCTCGACATTAATGTGACAATCAAACTTTGCAAGCAGATACGGACAATAAGGAACGATGTGTCTGTTATCCAGACGAACTTTGCGCACGACTACTGTCTTGCCATCATCTCTTCTTTTATAGCATGGATAAGAACTGCGCCCATGAGCAGTGACCTCAGAAAATTGTTAAGCATAATGGTTTTTACAAACGCCGTCTCTCATACATATGTTTGATGGATTTGAATCACCACATGGACCGTGCATCATGTGACGAACAACATATTCTCTTAAAAAAAGATGTGAAGTATCTGGTAGTTCAACACTTATAATATCATCATAGACATCTGATGAAACTATTTTGTGACGGTCCGTCAAAATAATAACCCAATGGGCGTGAGGCAAACCCCGTTTTTGAGACTCGATTGCATATACATACGCTGCAACTTCACCAAAAAGTTTTTTCTGACAATTTCATCTTTGAGCTCTTCAAGCTTTGCTTTGAAAACCCTTGCAATTAAATCTGGCCTATCATGCGGTTTTTCATTTGGAAGCAATTTATCTTTGATTTCTTTCCAAGCCGGATTGCAAGTCATGGTCGAGAATATATCTGGTTTTCCATATCTTTGCACGAGAGCCATAGCGTTAACATATCGTTTTTTCATGTCCCTTGGTCCACCTATAAATGAAGAAGGCAGCAAAACCTTTTTTCCGACGTTTGCGGGATCATTTTCTCCATCGATACATAAAGAATCAGTAATTTCTTGAAATGATTCGATCCAAAATTCTTGTTGAAGTTGGTCACATCTATAATAATCCAAGCGAGATGTCTCCAACTTAACGTATGAATCAATTGCGTACTGATGACCCAATCTTCCTGAATGCAATAAATAAGAGGGAACGTGTTCACGCATTTGAGCTCTGTAACACGGAAACTCTCTACATGATATGTTCCTACGAGAGTTCTTGTTTATCTGAAGAACTGCACATAAATATGAATATAAAACTTACTGTTAGTTTATAAAATTACATAAAAATTAATATTGATAATGAAATTATATTATTAATAAGAAACATAAATGAATGTCTAGTTATATTAGTAGTAATATATTTTTATATGTACCATTTTCTTCCATTTCCAAAACTGCTTCAGCCGAAATTGCATTCGTAGGATCAGTTGCATTCTGACCTTGACAAGGTTCCTTTCTTTTTCGCGAGGGAGAAATGGTATGCACCAACTTCTTTATTCCATCATGCCACCTGGCTCTCCGTATGGAAATAATAATGGATATTGTAGCGAGTCATAGCAACCGTAATGATATTTCACCTTATGGTTGTGGCCGCCATCAGTGTATACACGAATATCTCGTTCACGTTCAATGGAAGCACCATCTGAATCGTTCCACACAGCAGCCACTTCATCGGCTGTTGGTAAATTATAAGTTCTCTGATCCAATTTGCTATTTGATCTAATAACAATGTGCGCATCTCGGAGGTCATTCCAAGTCTGAAGCCTTTTAAAGAAGATGGAATATGGATTTTTTGAGAGAGCCGCAATTAGAAGTTCCATAATATCAACCCGTAATTGTTTTGATTGAAGTACTAGAGGATCCAAGTCTTCAGAGGTGTCGAGGAAAAATAGTTGAAGCATATCTTTTGTATTATGTGAAACATCAATAGGATTCATAAAATGGCAGACTTGACCTATAACTTTTAAAGCATAAATGCCATCTTTAGCCCACCATGACTACGGATCTGTTTTAATTCCCATGGAAGTGAATGCAAAGGCATTGTTATAAGTTCGAGATCGTCTTCTAAATTGGCACGCAATTTCCGATTGCCCGGTAAATAAGGAATGTAAGATCGGGCAAACAGTAGGGTCCACCAAAGAAATCTGGCCTTTAGAACAACAAAAGCCCACAACCTCACGAGAGAAACGAAATGCCCCACAATAGGAACATGGAGGTGTGATAGGAAGTATCCAAGGTATTTTTGCAATATCAGACATTCTTTTAAAACGGTTTGCAACCCGACGAATATTGTTGCAATTTTGTTGCACATTTTCTGATACATCTGCAATGAGGGCAAGATTTTTTATAATGTAAAATATAAATTCTATGCAGTTTTAAATAACTGAAATTTAGTAAGCAATGATTTACTTTGTGCTTGTACATGCAAAAAAGGTTGTTCTTGCAATGGAGTAGAAGAAGTATAATTTTGAGGAATTCTCTGAGATCCTGTCCGCAAGCACGTGGTAGTTTGTATTACACCAAATTCATCTTCACCATCATGAATTTGACCACTGGAGTTGGCCATAGCAGATGAATCATTCAAGGTACGAGTCCGAGCCAAATCAGATGGCTCATTTATATTAGACCGTGCTCGGCGTGCATAATTCTCCCTTTTTCTAGAATTCAATTTCTCTCTATCTTGAACACTCATTGCAAAATATCTTATACGAGCTCTCTGGTTGCGAATTTCTTTTTGCTTTGAAGAAGAAGCCATGACTATACATATATCTCAACAATATATCGACTTGGGTTAACTATTCTAGACTCACATAAAAACAATGACAATGAAATCCATCATAAATAATTTACACACATAATATATTTTTCACAACAAATAAAAACATAGAATAATTATTGGATAATGTAGTTGAAACTATAAAATGAACAGAGCAAAGGCTTATATCATACAACCAGTGTTCTAAATAGCGGTCGTGGCGGTCGATATATCGGCCGCCATATCGGTATCGGTTATAAACCTTTACGATTTTGTTGAGGCGGTTTGGAATATCGGTTTTTTACGGCGAGGCGGTTTGCGGCGGTTTTTTGGCGGGTCAAACCGATATATCGGTCAACAAATCGGTTTTTTTTTTTTTTTTTTTTTTTTTTTAAATTAAAATTAAAATGAAAATATGTTTTGATTTTTTGTTTTTCTCCAATTCTTTCAACTTCCAAAACCAAATCAAGTACTACTCCGCAATTTATGCTTTGTTGTGTTTATATTAATTGTTGATGCGAAAGACTTGCGTAGTATTTGTATTTCGTAAGAACCTTTTATTATATTATGATCTTATTATTTTTTAAAATTTTTATTATTTATTGAGTAATTAGAATTATATAATAACATATGAATGATAGGATAGAATTATGTTTAAATATTCTTTTATATATATTCTAAGTATTTACAAATAATATTTAGAAATATATTACACTATATTTAAAAACCGATATATTTCCGATTTATCTCCGATAAATCACCGCCGCGCCGATTTATCGTGTGGCGGTCCCTAACCGCCACGTACCCGATAACCGCCTTTTAGAACCTTGCATACAACCCATGCAATTATGAATATATAATCAAATAATATGCACACAAACCTTTCAAAGTTGAATTGAATCGATGTGAATACGTGATGTTGCTTCAAGGAATCTATAAAAAAAAATTAAATTTAGAAAATGTTGTACCGAATAAAATAGGTAAAATTATCTCTAATACAAATCTAACAACAACTCAACAACTAAATGTATGGTCTCATTTTTCTTTCTTGTAAATGAGCAACGGGTGAAAAAAAAATGAAACACTGTAAAACTTGCAGTTAGAGTGTAGATGCCCATAAAAATTTAAACATATGAAACTTGCAACCAAAGGAATGAAACTTGTAGAAATAAATGAAACATACAGTAAAGTAAAGTAGGACAGTAAAGTTTTTGATATAACTTTAAAGTAACACACAGTAAATGTAATATGATTTCTTTGAATATCAGCCCAAAAAATAAAATTTAGAAATGGATTCTTTAAACAAAGAGCACAAAATGTGAGTTTTAGTAAAGCATGAGAAATGGTGGTTGTTACAGAAATGACGAGTTGGTATCTGTTTTGGACGAATGAAGGAGAAGCATGAGTAAGAAGAAATGAATAATTATATTTGGTCTATACCATAAGCTATGATATATCATATATGATCGTATAAAATATTATATTATTTGATAAAAAAAATTAATAAAAATAACTATGAAGGACTACAATTAATAAAAAATAACTATTATAATATAATATAAAAAGATATATGATGTAGGCATTTCCCAGAGGATAGATAGCTGCTAATATAGATTTTTAATACCTATACGTTTTAATAATTTGCAGTGAATATAGCAATATATCTCATATAATAAATTTATGATAAATTATTAGAGGTTTAATTAGTAATAATTTTATATTTATTCGTAAATAAGATATTTTTAATATTATATAGAAGTTTTAATTTGCAATGAAGATAACAACTTTTATATTCATATTTATTAATAAGTATAAACTGATTATAAAAGAACTATTCAATCTATTTTTATTTTTATTTGATAATTAACTATTCAATTTATTAGTTATTGGAATTTCTGCATAATTATTCCCACGTGGTTTGATGTGATACTGAAAAAACGGTGACCTCAAAATTCTTTTGAGAGATGTGAAAAAAAAATTAGACATAAAGAATGTGGTGGTTGGTCTATTTTTCAAAGATGTGAAATAAGGCTATAAATGCAGCTGTAATTATCTTTTGTTTGCATGGGGACAGGTAAACATGAACCCAAACGACGTCGTTTTATTGTAGTAAGTGGCTGCAGATAAATGATGCATTAAATGGAAGCACGTGAAGAAAGCTGAGATAAAGCGCGTGGAGAAGTGAGTGAGGCGTAGGAGGAGAGAGGAAATGGGCCCACACAATGTAAGTCGAGTTATCAAAAAAATGTGGAAAATATTAAATATTAAAAGAACAAAGTAAATTTAAGATATAAAAGAAATTAGGAAAATTATTTCAGCACATAAACTTTGAAATTACTTATTTAACTGAAGTAATGTAGAACCATAATGTATTCATAGTTATAAGTTACGATTTTTATTTTTCTTATATAAATCATATTAATAAGTAAGCAAATAAAAAAAAGGAAAAATAACTACACTCATTTAAATATAACACAATTTTTAAAAAAAAAATTAAACTTAAAGATTAAACATAGTAAAGATTAAATTAAATTAAGGTCATTAATTAATCATTTTGAATAGTTGTTTCATTAATTTGAGTGAAGATAGTTAATTTGAGATATTAATTCTTAAAACTTAATAATTTTGAGCTAATTCAAAATGAATCACGTTTATACTAAAATGTAGTATTCTTATAACTTAATAATTTTGTGATAATTCAAAATGAATCACGTTTATACTAAAATGTAGATAGCAATTAGCAACTATTGTATATTATTATAAATATATTTTTTAAATAACTATTATAAATGAATTCCTGTGAGCTTATTTTTTTAAAGAATGAAAAAAAAAGGAATGGGGAGGCTGACAACATTGTGACCACGAGGGCAATAAATGCATGCGGGCCCTCCAAATTTTGTTAAGGAAAATTTAGCTGCTGGCAAAACCGAAATAAAATGGAAAATAGTGGGAGCGGGCCCACATATTTGGTCCGACCGAAAAAAAATTGATTAAATGAAAATGAAAAAGAAATTGACTTTGTACTTAGAAAAAGAAAAAACGACACCGTTTTTGGGGTAAAACTGCGTTAAGAAAATGAAAAATAAATTGAGAAGCACTATTCAGATTTTCCTGCACATTTATATATATATATATATATATATATATATATATATATATATATATATATATATATATATATATATATATATATATATATATATATATATATATATATATAGATTTTGTGTGTGCATGTGCTTTGTGTTTTGTGTTTTGTGAAATTGCCGTGTGTATAAGTTGGGTGTGTTGGGTTTGTGGTGTGTTTCCAAGTGTCCAAGGCTCCCTAATTACTATCTACACCCTCTTGTTTCCTATATTGCAAGTAAGTCCTTCTACTCTCCTATAAATAACCTCTTCGTCTTCATTATTTTCAGCACACAAACACCAGCCAAAATCTTTCATTCTCTCCCCTCTATCTCGTCAAAATACTCCCCAAATGGAAGAACTATTCTTCCACTTCAAAGCCTTGAAGATCCTCCATAAAAGTCTCTATTTTTCTCTTCTAAAATCTTCCCAAAAGGCCTCCTCCTCCCTAATTTCGGGATTTTCCTAACACCTTCAATGAACCAACCATATAATATCTCAAAACTCAGCCCCAAAGCTCACCAATACCACCCATGTCAAGACCAAAGACTTCCAAACCAAAACTCCATGGATCCTTGGTTTCTTCTCCTTCTTAGCCTTTGATTTTCATGGATAAGGACCTTGGTCTTTACTAAAATAATAACTTAATTAATATAAATTATATGGGTTTTAATGAATTATATGTTTGTGTTTTTAATTTTGGGCTTTAGAAGATAAAGTTCTTGATGAACACTAATTGAATTTCAGTTTCGTAACCTCTATTTGTATTGCATGTCTCATCGGGTAATACTTGAGATAAAATTATGAAATTTTAAGGTAGTCTAGATAATTGTATTAGCATCATTTTGATATCAATTATGCATAAATCGGATTTATATTGATTAAGTTATGGATCGTTCTGCACAGTTTCCGAGTCATTTATGAATTATGTGTTTAATATAACTTTATACTAATTTGACTTGTGTGATTTACTTGGATATGATTATAGACTTGTTAAACATCTTCTCTGCAAAATTTCACAGTGTTAAACATATGAATTAATTGGTATTTTTTAAGTTGATTTCTCTGTTCTGGAAAACTAACCGTGTCACTGCACTAAATTAATTATTTCTCTTAAATAGTTAAGTTTCTTCCTAAACTGTTTTAACAAGGTAGAATATACTTATAGGTGAACATACTGTGAAATTTTGAGGTGCTTTAGATATATGTTCTAAGAGATATGAATTTTCAAAATTGAAATACCAAAACTGTCAGATTTTCTAAAATAAACTATTTTGAACTAGAAAATATGAGTAGGGTTTTAAATTCTTGATCCTTAGTTAACAGAAGAATTAAACTTATATTCAAATAATAAAATATAATGAGTTGAATTTAATTAGAACTAACTATGATTACGATCATGAATTACTCATTTAAGTCATTATATGCTATTATCTATATGTTTCCATTGATTTAGGTATGTTGGTTTGAGATTCATTTTGTGTGTGTCGTATGTGTGTAAGTATTGGAAATGGTTGAGATTACTTGTGGACTTATTGGTTAATTACACTCGTTAATGCTATATAGTATATACTATATGTCATACTTTATATATACGAATATATATTTATATATCCTAGCCTGCGTGGTCGTAGGAATAATTCTCGATCCATGGCTTATATATGTATACTATGCTATATTATCTCTCTATAGCAACCTACGTGGTCGTCGAGTGAAAACTCCGATCCATGGTTTATGTAAATATAAACTATACTATTATAAATATATGTGTGTGTGTGTGTGTGTGTGTGGTGTGTGTGTGTGTGTGTGTGTGTGTGTGTGTGTGTGTGTGTGTGTGTGATAATATGTGGTTAATAATATTTGTGTTATTATATTGTGACCCATTTGTGTGTTAATTGTGATATCTAAATTTGCGATTGAATTATGGTCTTAACATGTTCATGCATATCACTGATTTTTTAAAGTATGGAAAATTAATGGAATACTTGAGTGAATAAACGGGATACGGTGGACCGGTATCCAGATATTGTTAAAGAGTAGTTTGATCTCACTAAAGAAACGGGCTCGTAACAGTTTATTGGCTAAGTATGGAAATTAATTTTTCACGGATCCGGTAACTGAAAATGGATTTGTTTTTTTTACGATTTTTAGGGAAAAGGAAAATGTGTTTTACACGATTTTTATGGTAAACGAGAAAGGGATTTTTTCATGATCTTATGGTAAACGAAAACGATTTTTTACACTATTGATTAAGGTCTCATGTATATCACGTATTCTCTTGAAAGTTTGAAAAATTAACGAAATACTTGGGAGAATAAACAACGGATACGGTGGGCCGGTATCCAACTGAAGTTTAAAAGGAGTGGTTTGCTCCACAATAGAAACGGGCTCGAAACGCTTTATAGTTTATTGCTTGAGTACAGAAATTAATTTTCAACGGATCCGATAAAGTGAAAATATTTTTCCATGCATTGCATTCACGTGCATTTTGGTCATTTTAGATACTAAAGTGATTTATGTGGAAATAATGTGTTTTTGTGATTGGTGTGTTGTCGTATATTACCAATGTTTAGATGGTCACGTTGGGGTTCTGATAAGGATCCTGTTGCATTGCATTTATATGTGTAAAGTGTTAAATTGATACTAAAGGGACTTTATGTCCGCGAGCAATATAAGGATTTTATATCCGTATAATACGGAAGAGGACTGTGTGTCCAATATACAAGATTGAGGTAAACAATATTATATGTTTATATGTAGAGCTATATATTCGACTATGTGTTATGATAATATTTATGCTTCGTCGTTCTTAGTTTTGAAGAATACAAGTACTGCATTCGTTGGTGATGTTTTGTGCTTTCACGTATATGATTGAATGTCTTGGTCTAAATAAATAAATTGAATATAGAGGACATAGTAGAAGCTTTAGGCTTATCCCTACACTAAAGAACATAGAGACGAGGACTTTAGGGCTCTTATAGGACGTAAGTGACACGTTTAGAGAGGCGTGAGTATCGTCAGACCAAAGTTCTTACTGAACTAATGGTTGGGCTCACGCTTTATGCGAATTTCCCCTTTCAGGTTCTCGAAGTAATCAAAGTGCGCAGCGGAGCAAAGTTCGAGGAATCACGAACCTTGATGCCTTGCACGTCTTACCCAGATTTCGTAAAAGATCATATTTTCACTTTCGCCTGAAAAAAGGTCTTATGTAAAAATGGAGATTTTCATTTTACTCTGATTTATGAATCTAGTCTATTAAACGAGGGTATTTAAACAAGTTTATTTTCCTTCCGCTGTCTTACAAGTGTTTTCTAAACCCCGATGATGTTTAGGTAGCACTCTTTATAAAAATCATAACTTTGATTTGTGGGTTATTTAAAGTAAAGGGAAATAATTTTATAAATTCTAAATTGGTTTTCTCAAAGTTCAAATTGAATCCGAAAGTTTTAATAAAGTCCACTAAAATATTTCTCTTTAACTAAAATTCATGGAGGGTGTTACAATCACAGGCGTATCCATTGTTGAAAATTGCAAATGGAGGGTTTATGCATCAGTTCATAAATCAGACAAGTTATTCGGCATTCGCAAATGTATTCTTGAGCACAGTTGTGGTGATACTACTCTTCGTACAAGGGGTCATCACAAAGCCGATGCTACGTGGATTTTGCAACTTATGAAACAAAAATTGAGAGATGAGCCAGGTTACAAACCAATTGCTATTTTGAATGAGGTCCAAAGAAAGTACGGTGTGGAGCTTAAGTACTATACGGCGTGGAGATGTAAGGAAAAAACAATGTATGACATTCATGGCGATGAGTCGAACTGTTATGATAAACTGACACGTTATTGTCGTGCATTAAAACTTAATAACCCTGGTAGTTGTGCCGATTATGAGATTGACCCTCAAACTCAAAAGTTTCTTCGGATCTTTATTAGTTTTGGAAATTCTATTTTGGATTTCCACCGTGGGTGTAGGCAAATGATATGTTTGGATGGGACTCATATTAAAAATAAGTACAAAGGTTGCTTACTTTCTGCTGTGTCCAAAGATCCAAATGATGAGCTGTACACATTGGCCTATGCAATTGTTGATGCCGAGAATGATAGAAATTGGGAGTGGTTTTGTAATAAGCTGAAAGAGATTCTTGTTTATCAAAATGGGGGTTTATTGAAAAGTTACACAATTTTCTCTGATCGTCATTCGGGGCTTATTAAAGCCATTCCACTGGTATTTCCTGGTAGCAACCATGCTTATTGTTTCCGACATTTGGAGGATAACTTTAGAACAAAGGTTCTAAGATCGTATCCATTGCAATACAAAGCATATTGGGTGAGTATTCTACATAAGGCTGCAATTGCTCCTACTCGGCAAGAGTTTGAGGAACATATTTCTCTTATAGTTCAATCAATGCCTCGTGCAGAATCATTTATCCGAGACTTGGATCCCAATCGTTGGGCCAATGCTTACTTTTCTGGAGATAGATGGGGAATAATGAACAGTAACCAAGTTGACTGCTGGAATGGTTGGGTTAAAGATTAATGATCTTTGTCAGTTCTATCCATGATTGATGCGATACGAATCAAAATAATGAAGATGATAGGTAATCGATAGGAAGATTCTTTAGTCATGGCTGGTACAATGTGTCCAACAGTTGAAAAGAGATTATTAATCAACTGTACGACCTCTCGCTTATTAAAATATACCAGATCCAGTGGTACGCGTTATGAGGTGTATGAAGAAGATAAGTCGTATAGTGTTGATTTAGAGACTAGGACCTGTACATGCCAATCTTGGCAGTTGGATAAACTTCCATGCAAACATGCATGTGCATGTATTGAGTCGAAAGGATATTCGGTATTTGAATTTGTTGATCCTTGCTTCCGGGTTGATTTGTACAAAGAAGTATATAAGTACACAATTAATCCAATTCCTTCATTTGATGAGGAATTTGATGTGTACAATGCACAAATAAATCATGGTCCGGAAGATGTATTTATTAATGCACCTGCATCGAAAGCTCAACCACGCCGTAGAAGGACGAAAAGAATTCCATCGTAGGTCGAAACCCGTGTTACGAAGTGTGCACAGTGTGGTAAACCCTGGACATAATCGCCGTACGTGCAAACAACCAGTCTCGTAGCAACAATCAGTGATGACAAGGTGGAGGAGAGCACATGTGGTTGCCCATCTCCCCACAAGGATTGAAGTGAATCAAACGTGGCTATTTCTACTTTCTTTTTATGTTGTTTGAACTTTGTTGACATGCACTTCGTACTATTTATCCATTTGCACTCTGTTTTATCTATTTGTATTATGTACCATGATATGACTGTTTTAGTTACAATAGGGCGCACTGTTTTAGTTATAATAGTATTGTTGTTGCGTTCATATGGTATAACTTACAACATAATATAGTTCACAGAAGAATAATAAATGAATCGATTTGAATTTAATGACCGTTACAATAATATAGCCGTTATTTTTGTCGTCAGAACTTATAAATAGCACGTAATTATGTTCATTTGCTTCTCATTCATGGTTTTTTCCAGTAGAAACTCTCAAAAGAGAAGCTTAAAATATAAAAAGGATAACTACAAGCGTCGTGATTGTGGGGAAAAAACAATAATCATGGTTTCGGAGACAATTTTGAATCCAGGGAGGCTATTTTACTGTTGCCCAGACCACGGCTATTCTCATTGGTGTGAGCCATTTGAAATTAGGCAAACTTTCTCCCACAACTATTCTCGATATGAAGAAAGTGAAGCTACGAGTGGATCGACGAACCAAGTTCATCGCAAAAGTAAAGTGAAGAATTCCAAAGATGAAGGTGGAGTAATTCAAAGTTTGATAGTGTTAAACCTAGTAATATTTGCAGTTTACATGAGTTGTCAAACCTATGTAATGTTTCTTAACTAATCACCGTAATAGTACGAGTCAAAAGTTAGTGTCGTGTATTGTAGCTCGTTAAATCGTATTGTAATGTGAATATGTAAGTACTTTGGGTACATCTAATAAATTAACTCACATTCTTCCTCTTCACTTGTTGTGCATTTCCAGAATGTTGTTGCAGTTCACATAAAATAATCAAGATTAGTGTAATACAACAACATCACGTTGGTTTACAAATGGGACATGTCCATCTCATTAATAGTACTCTTCACTTACACGCCTGACTTCCACTTTTCCACCGACCTCCAAAGCAGCAGCAATTGGACCAGATAGTTCTTCCACATGTGAAACCAGAAACTTTTTCTCTTCTTTGTGCACAGAGAATGATATAACCTAATAACATATAAACATGGTTATTAGGTAAGCAAATAACACAATGAAAATGCATAAATCAAATTGTTACCTTGTCTGATGTGAGTTCCCTAAAAAGATGTTTAGCCTGACGTTCATCGGCTGGTATTTTGGAGTCGGACCATCGGAAAAATCTTGGGTATTCGAAAACGCTTATTGCGTACCCCAGAGAAGTGATCCTTTCACTCACCACCCATGCCAACAATCCAATGGTGCAACCATCAAAATACCCTCATGCCCCAGCCAAGTGTGCCTCAATATTTTCAATGAGCACATCATACACCAACTTTCCCCACGCAAAATCTCTTACGCGCTCCAATTTGTCAACATGTGGTAAACGTACCTCGGAAGTTGAAAGTTTCCCGTTGGCAATAAGAAAGTATTGCAAGCGAAAATAATATAAAACCTAATAAAATCCTCAATGGATTGTTGGTCGGTCTTAACAGCATACTCTTCCAGTTTTTCAGCAATTTGATGACGCTTTACTTGGGTCAATTTACCCCCAAAAACACGTCTAATGAAAGGAGTTTCTATTTCCAAGATTTTATCGATGGGTACCCCCCTTAAACTGTAATCCCATCATGATGCAGAACTCCCTAGGGTCAAATACGACGGGGATAGTTTTACCTCCAAACCAGAACGTACGTTCCTCCACGTTGTATGTCTTCTTCAACAGAACAGACACCTTTAAGAAACTATGCTATATCTTAGGCATGTTTAAGAAATGCCCGAAAGGATTTTCCTCCAAGGCAGCAAAATGTCTGGCCGTCATCATTGGTTTAATTATGTCCATTTGTTCTTTAAACGCGCTAGGAGAGCACTTGAAAGCTTGTTGGGCGTCATCCTCTGCAAGTGTATTACGATTATAAAGAAAAAACAATAATCAGAAAAAATACAATTGTAAAATAATAATGGTACTATGTAGTTATTGTAATTATACCTTCACTCTGTTGTATCAATACCATACACCTACATTGCCTATACTATTAGGCAATACTACATATACTATTTAATTACATCAGAAGAAAGGCCATTACCTTGTTTTGATACCTTCTAACAACAATAGCACTACTATTGTGTAGTAAGACTTATATTATTTAAACACATCTAATGCCCAAAATCAAACCCTTGTTATGACCTAAAATGATTTGGGGAAATACTAATGTGTCAGACAAATGATACCCAAGAGTGAAAGTGTTCAAAATCATGCAATTCAACAGCAAATGAACAACTTTTGCAAACATAAACAAGAAAACAACATTTATTGGAACCAGTTGTTCGATTTTTTTATTTGAGAAAACCCCAATCTCGCCGTTGGATACTACCCACTACTGGAAATGTTCAAAATCATTCAATATGAGAACATGCAGTTTGTTTTTTGCTAACCTAAGCAAAAAAAACAACAACAAATTTCATAATCGATTCCTCAAAAAAAAAAAAAAAACTTGCTTCTCCTTCCTTTTCTTTGCCCGCACCATTCTTCTAGTTCGATAAATATTACTTTACTTTTCTTTGCTGTCTTCTTTTCGCCTTGTTGTGGTTATTTATACAAGCAAACAAAAACCGAAAAACCTGAAGAATCGCTTGCTTACGAAGAAAAACTGCTTAGAAACCGCTTAGAAAATGGTTCGAAAATTGAATGACAACGGATAGTTAAAAAGGTGTGGAGCGTGTCTCTCAACCGGAGCGTGAAAAAGCAGGTGAAAAGGTTTGTCAGAATTCGCAGGTAATTTCAAAATAAAGTGAAGGGTTTTTCGGACTTTGCACACCAGTTAGGGAGTTAAGTGCATATTTATGTTTGATTTAGGGTCCAACACGCTTATAAAATGTTGCTGGGGATTGACCCGTACTTTATGTTTGGGTTTAGGGATTTATCAGTATTTGCCCCATGTTAATTGGTAATTCTGAAATGATTTACGTGGTACTAAAATTACGAATACCGTCCACAATATGTTTTTCCTTCTCTCTCTAGCCCTCCCCAAACCTCCCAAAACCTCCAAAACTCTCAAGAACTCTCAATAATTCTCCAATCCTAAAATCTCACCAAATTTTAAGGTAATTTCCAATGTTGTTAGAACCGGACCGAACCGACCGGTCGGACCGGTTCGACCGTGACCCGGCAATAAAGCGGTCTGGTGTGACATCTAAAACTGGAAAAATTGAAAACCGGGGTCAAATGACCAAAATCCGGTTCGACCGGGTAAAACTCGAGAACCGACGAGTCAGTCAAGGAACCCTATTTTCGATCAAAACGTCTCGAATCACCCAATGAGTTGGTTATTTGTGGCTAGATTTGAGCGAAGATTCACAGACTTAGTAGTGGGTGGCCGGATTTAATCATGAGTGGTCGAAGGATTGTCAGATATGATGATGGGTGATTGAATAGGGGTGGCCGACTGGCCGATTGCCGCATTTGAACAATAAAGAATGGAAAAATATAGAGTATAAGCAATAAAATATAGTAATAAGTGAGGTGAAGTAGATAAGAGTAAAAATAATAAGTGGGAGATTAGAAATATAAAGAAAATAATATTTTTAAAACAGTAAAATTAATAAAATAATAGCATATTAAAAAAAATCAAAAACCTGGTTAAACCAGTTCGACCCTATAAACCCATGACCCAAATGATCGTCCGGTTCTATAGCCGATCCGGTTCTGAAAACATTGGTAATTTCTATTCTAAATCACTTATATATTAATTATAATTAGTTTATTTCGTTAGTTACATGTTTAAATCCCCCAGAAATCGAATTATTCATTAAATACTTATAAATTATAAATTATTCATTAATCAGTAATTATAATTAGTTTATTTCATTATTATTATTCATTAATTACTTAAAAATTATTTATCAATTATTAGCTAATTATAAAATAACTATTAATCAGTAATTATTTATCTATTAATTAATTATTAATCAATTAATAATTAATTAAAAATTAAAATTCGTTATTATTTATTAATCGTTCATTAATAATTAAGTAATCACTAATTAACTAAAAAATGGAAAGAAAAGAAAAAAATAAACAAAAAATACAAAGCTTTCGGAAATTAAAACCGTATTCGTAAAAATGATACCGCATTTATAAGTTGCTTTGTAATTGGATACAAATAATCAGGATAAATTAATAATCTCGTTTAAATAATAATTTTTCAAAATATCTTTTCGGTGACAATGTACCACCAAAATCCTATACATACTCGTAAGTTTGAAGGGAGGTTTTTTCAAAAGTCTAT